ACATTTTTATATTTTCATTCTTCTTTTTACTCTGCAACAAAATAAAACAATCAATGATAGTTTAACAAATACATTGAACAGTTTGGTTTGAACAGTTTATTGTACAAACAACTCTTTGTTATCTATTAATTCTCAAATGGTGTTGATGTTACAACCAATATATAGTATATTTATTGGTTTGATTAAAAATATTGTATATATTATTAGAGTATAAGTATCTTTATTTTCTATTAATTCTATAAATAAGTGTTTGAATAAGTTTTTTAAAAACATAGTATAAACAAGGGATACTAAAGTTAATAAAAAGATTCTGATGATACAAAAACACTTATCTCTTTCAGAATTAACTCATTAATAATATCTATGAAAAATTTAAATTAAAAAAAATGTATTGGTTGTAACTTTTTAATTTCATGAAAAAGGTACATAATGACTTGTTAATACCATATCTCAACAATTTTTGATTGTATTTAACAACTATTACTATAAATTATATTATGTTATATTACTTCATACTAAATTAAATTACCCAAAAGAATTTTCAAATATTTTGGAAACCTTCTTCTATCTTTAATACTAATTAAAACCATTATCAGTTTCTTCAACAATTGTATCATATAACCATTTTTTTTATAAAGTAACAGTTAATCAAATGATGCTAAATAATGAATAACAATATAACTTATATCAAATCAACACATAATGCAATGAATTTAAAAAGAATGATTATTTTTACTCCTAAGTTTCATTGAGAAGATAACAACATCAACTAGATAGTTAGTCTGTAAGTTTTAGTAATAAAAAACCTTCAAAAACTAGCTAAAACAAGACAGTTCTTAATTATTTTATCTTATTAAAAGGTTAATTTAAAATAAAAACGATAAAGAGTTATACAGAAAAATAAATTTTTGAATAGATGAAACAATACAAAGAAATGATGATAATCTCATTTATTAAATGAACGTTATACCACTACGAGACCTTAATAAATAAGAGCATGATTTATTTTAAGTTTTATAAGTTTGACGAGACCAATAAAAATAAACTTAGGACAGTTGCAAAAGAGTTAAATTAGATTATCTAATCATAACATATAAAATACTTAAAGTGAACGCTATCTTCATGAGCCAAAGAAATTAATTAAATCAAAACAACACTGAACCTCTTTGAATAACAACAAGTTTAATAAAATATTTTCCATACTTACTAATACAAAGAACAACATTCAAACTATAAAATTATAAAAAGAAGTGAATTAAATTTGGTATATTAATGAACTATCTCTCCCAGTTTTAAAACTTGGCGCCTTATCTCAGGGAAATAAACTTGAATTAGTATGGTTTGGTTTTAATTTAAAGTGGAACCTAAGCTAGTTAAAGAATAAAATATATTCCACAACAACTAAAAGTAATGTTAATTATGTTGGTGCTCTTCTTATGTTATGGTTTGAGATTTTGTTTTTTCTTCAGGACAAACATAATAACCACCAAGTGAGAAGAAATGATTTATAGGAAAGTAAGATGTGATAATGACTGCTAATTAAGTATTTTTTAAAGAATTTAGTTTGAGAAGATAAAAGTTTTAATGAAGAAAGGTGAGAAGGAAGAGGGATTGATAAAGAATAAGGGAAGAAGAAAGAAAACAAGGGAAGAGTTCAAGAAAGGATGGGAAAAAATTTTAAGAAAGAAAAAACAAAAAAAGAAAACCTATAGAAGGAAGTAGAAGATTGAACTGAAAAGCAAAATAGACAATATGTCACAGTGTTATCGTGTGGGACAATTCATCATTGGAAAAAAACTTGGAGAAGGGATGTGTGGAAAAGTATATCTTGCATTTCATGAAAAAACAGGAGTTAAAGTAGCTATTAAAATAGTAGATAAAACAAAATTAATGAGAAAACCAGAAATGAAAAGGAAAGTTTGAGAATTATTTTTGATTAAGTTAATTTGAAATAAGAAATCACCAAAAATTTATGGATTAAAAAGAAATTAAACATGAATAATAAAAGGTGAAAAAAAAAATAGAAGAGTTTTAAAAGATAAATAGAAAATTAACAAAGATAGGTAGAACGAGAAATAGCATTTTTAAAAATAATAAATCATAGAAATGTTATGCAATTATATACTGTATATGAAACAACACGATATCTTTTCTTAGTAATGGAATTACTTGAAGGAGGAGAATTATTTGATTATATAATTTCAAAAGGGAGATTAGAAATAGAAGAAGTATTAGTTTATTTTCAACAATTAATATTTGCAGTAGAACATTTTCATTCAAGACATATATGGTT